CATAAATGGATATCAACATATATAAGAATGAAAATAGATCCATATCTATCATTATGCACAAAGCTCAAATCCAAATGGATCAAAGACCTCAACATAAAACCAACCACACTGAACCTCACAGAAAAGAAAGTGGAAAGTACATTGAACACATCGGCACAGGAGACCACTTTCTAAATATAACCCCAGTGGCACAGACACTGAGTGAAACAATAAATGGGATCTCCTGAAACTGAAAAGCTTCTGTAAAGCAAAGGACATAGTCAACAAGACAAAACGGCAGCCTACAGAATCAGAAAAGATCATCACCAACCCCACATCAGACATAGGTCTGATCTCCAAAATATACAAAGAACTCAAGAAATTGGTCATCAAAAGCAAAAATAATCCAATTAAAAAAAAAAAAGGAGTACAGACCTAAACAGAGAACAGAGGAATCTAAAATGACTGAAAGACACTTAAGGAAATGCTCAACATCGTTAGCCATCAGAGAAATGCAAATCAAAACAACTCTGACCTAGAAGAAGAGAGGTCAGTTGTCAAGGGGGATGTCACTGAGGTGATCTCTGACCTGAGAACACCTAGTGATGATAGCCGTAGGGCAGGAGTCTGACCTTCCACAGGCCCTACAGGTCAGCTTGGGTCGCCCATCCCAGTGCGCTGGTTAAGAAACAGGCAATTTTTTTTTTTGAAACCCTGTCTCGAAAAACCAAAAAAAAAAAAGTAACAGGCAAATTTGTGATGCCGAAATATAGAGGGGGTCAAGCTACATGGCCACACTGGAGAGAACAGATAAAGAAAACCGTGGACTCCAAATGCATCTGCATGGCATGAATATGGCTGTGGATTTTAAAGGAAGACACGCAATATGCATAATTAAGAAGTCCTAGGCTGGGCGGTGGTCGTGCATGCCTTTAAGGGAGGCAGAGGCAGGTGGATCTGTAAGTTCAAGGCCAGCCTGGTCTACAGAGTGAGTTCCAGGACAGCCAGGACTGTTACACAGAGAAACCTTATCTCAAAAAACTAAGAAAAAAAAAAAAAGTCCTGCTAAAGATGAGGTTCTGCCCAACATTGTTTTAGCCCCGATCCTGCATTGGCCTTGATAAGTTGTGAATCTGTTAATAACTTTGATTTGAAATGACTTTCATCAGCTGAGGGAGCCTGCTGGTTTTCTGCGCCGCAGCGTGTGGCCTCACTCTCAAGGATAAGTACCCTCACCTGGGAGACAGTCCTCCTCGCATTCCACACTGCTTATCTTGAAATTCAAGGTGAGTGCAAGTTAAGGAGAATGACTTTCCTTTCTGGCTTCAGACGTGAAGAGAGAGGAAATGAACCAGGCAGACAGATGCCAGCGTGCCTTTAGCAGCTTATGCACCCGAGTGAGGACTTAATGCTTCTTTAACAAAAGCAGCATCTAAGGGCCTGTCACACCTAGAAGATAAGTGCCTGTTACAGACACTTGTAAGGTGAGAACACACAGGAGGACTGCCTCTCTAGCCAAGAGCAAGGAGAGGAAGAATCTAGGAGTAGCATTAAAAATGTTGATGGAACCAACTGCGAAGTGAGACTGATGGCAAGATGTGATAAGAAAGAAAGGAAGGAAGGGAGGGGGAGGGAGGGAGGGAGGGAGGGAGGGAGGGAGGGAGGGAGGGGGGAAGAAAGAGA